AGGAATGTTTGTGAAGGGGTCTGGACCCTGTCCAAACAGCTGCTTGTCAGCTCTGGATGTTTGTGTTCTCATGAGTTTACAGTTCTGGCTGTTTGTTACAGTCAGGACACTGAGCGCACAGTTCAGACTGAGGCCATCCCTCCTTAATTCACAAGTCAAATGCAGATTTCTCTTCTGCCAGCAGGCGGCAATACAACCACTGCAGCTCCTTTCCTCCCATCACCTTCCTGGCCTCACACCCATGCTTCTTCGCTGGAGCTCCAAGTGGAGAGAGAGCTGCTGTAGATGAATCGGGGCAAGGCTCTGCTTTTTCTCTGTGTCATCCCTTGCTTGATCCCCCCATTTCTGTGTGGATATCAGGGGAGAAGTGCTGCAGCTGGGAGCTACCAGTCACCTTTAAGTTTACAGGTGAAAATGTGCGGGAGGGCACTGAGGCACCAGAAGTGCTAAGGCTGGCCTTGTACCCAGCACATGCCAACATTAGTTCTGGACCCACAAACAGCAGAGAATGCATCTGCTGAGACTTTTTGGCGTGATGCACCATACTGACAGAGTCCAAGTCATTTGACTTTCATGAGTCATAGCATAATACACAAAAACATCCTGCTATGAGGGGGATGAAGGATGAATCCCAGATACAGGACTAAAAACACATTTTTCTCTCAGAAAAAGGGGGGAGGCTATTTCACCAAAAACCAAATCAAGTTTATATGCAGCATCAGACAGCAAGTTCAGATCAAAATCAGGGACAGTGAGAGCCTCTGCTGTTGTGGTCATTTATCCCTGACACGAAGAAGAGTCATGGGGCTGACAGATACTAGGGCTATTGGAAAGAAGTGATAGAGCGAATCTTGTCCTAATATAAGGGACAAGGGATTAGCAAGCGTGTGCAGCTTTCCCACCAGTGCTGGCAAAGGGATTACTGTTAAGGCTGAACAGTACATTGATTGTCCATGAGACTTCTTCCTCTCTCTGAAGAGGAACAAGAAGGATGTGGAGTTTGAGAACGTTTTTTTTCACAATGTAGATATCAGTCCAATAGAAAATGGTCTGAGACCCCAAATGCCTTTTGCACAGGCAATAAAACACCCATTGTCTGGCAACAATTTCCGATTCCTAATGTCTGATCTAGATTAAAATGGACTACCTAGATCTGAAAGGCTTTGCAGCTACTACCACTACTATGAACTACCAGGCCTCCTGATAGCTCTGTAAATGAATGCTTTTAGCCAACTCAGCGGGACCAGAAGTATTGGAAGAATAAAAGAGCATTCATAGGATGTGTTATTCGAGACGTTGAGGTTTCTTTCGTAATTAAAAAGCAGGAAACAGAGTCACTGTTACGCAGAGAGGGGCTGAATGGGTTACTGTTAATTCTGGCATCATTGAACTGGGGACATTCACCAGAGGCAACTGGCTTGCAGCTGGTGAGGAACTGTACAGCAAAAGCAAGAAAAACAGTCCATCTGTAAGCACACTGGTTACTAAGCACACTTCATTCAGCAGTCAAAATTAACTGCTTGGTATATAATCTGTCACTTGCTCAATAAGGTGAGATAAATAAGTCTTCCTTCAGGAATAAGAGTAATGTTCTTAAAACTTATTAACTTCAGTATTGTTGATGAAGCAAAAAAGTCTCAGGCCAGGTTTTTGATGGCCTGAAAATGCTGGAAGGTGCTGGAAGTGGGATTTTCTAAAGCTAAGGATCTCTGATGTCACAACAGACATTTTCCTAATATAAGCCTAAACCATGGCCTCCTAATGAAGCAGTCACACTGAGTTCTCAGCTCTCATCCCAAGTACCGGTCACTGGCAGATGGTACACGGTTATTAGAACAAATGCAAATCAAAACAGTAAAAGATGAGGAAATTGAACAGAAAATACTTATTTGCTTCTTGGGAGTTTTAATTTCTTGCTGTCCAAATGCTTGATTTCCAGGAACATATTGAAAGCACTGTATCCCTGTGTCAACAAACACACTTGCAGTCTTTCAGCTGAGTGAGATATGACAGTATCCAAAGTCTCACTGGTTCAGGGCCTATAGTCCCTTCTTGATGTTTGGCATGGCACCAGCTACATACCTCAGGCACTTAATACATAATTATTTCTGATCTCTTCTGAAGTGGAAAGTAAATCAAATGCTAAGTGCACTGTCTCATTTTGAAAAGTGATGTTCAAACAAACACTCTGCCAGCTATCATGATAACCTTATTAAAACACAGTCAGTCCAAACTTCTCACTCTGTGACACATGTTCTGGAGGAGACCTAGGGAAAAAGACCCTAAACAAACACAGGACAATGGAAAATTACATCATTGGCCTGAGCGGTCTAATTAAATTTCCAATATCAAAATGCTCCTCTAACCTCCCTGATAACTGAACAAAAGGTGAGAGAGTAAAGCAGAGTGGAGCTGAAGCATTTAACAGCGTCAAACTGGGAATAGATGGAAAAGGTGGAAGATAAATGACAAAAAAAATCTGCATAATAGTCTTCCTTTAAAGGAAGCGTACTGAAAGATTAAAATACCCCAGAAGATCACTTCAGAAACTGTGAAACTACACAAGGCCAGCAATCTGCTACCACAAAGAATATGTTTTGTTCTTTCAGGTGAGAGCCATTTTTCATGTAGCAAATGATGCACCCAGATCTCTGTCTGGCACAAGGACTCCTTGCAAATCGAGCTGCTGCTTGGAAAGTTCTTCAGAAAGGCTGTCTTCACTGCCAAGAGGTTTTTTTGATTTCTAAGAAATCTGGCAAACTTTGAAGAGATAACAATGATTTCCTTTCCTCCTTGTGTCTGCATCCATTAATACGGACTGTATTTGAATCAACATTATTTTCTGACTGTGATAGTTCACAAAATTGCTTTATACCTTAAGCTTTCAAGAACTGTGGAATTTACTAGATAGGAACATCAGTTGCAAGCTGCCTGAAGCACAAGGTAAAAATATAAATGTGTTTATCTGTCTCTCTCTTCCAAAATGTTGGGTGTATATGCTAATTTTTCTCTGTCATTTTTTAGCTTCATCTAATATTTTTATGAAAAATAATTTTGGATTTGTATAAGAGGCGAGCAATACAAGGGATGAAGACAAATCTTCTAGCACATTTTTCAACCTTTGGAAACTACGTAGACTGTGGATCATAGTTATCATGAGACTGGTTTCTATTAAATGGTAATGCAAAGCCAACTCTACATTTCATGTTGAGACCAGAAATGGGTTCCATCACAAATGACAGCCATTTTATAAATGATACGGACTACTATGAAGAACAATCATCATCTTTATTTGACATTCACATCCTGGTACCTGTAACTATAATTTCCATCATTTTATTTTTCTTGGGTGTCACTGGGAATGTAATAACAATATTAATTTTCAAACAGCGTAGGGAAATGAGAACTACAGTTAACATGTACTTATCCAGCATGGCCCTCTCAGACATTTTGATCTGCCTTGGTCTGCCTTCAGATTTGTACAGGATTTGGAAATACAGGCCATACATATTTGGGGATTTTCTCTGCAAATTTGTGTTTTACCTCAGTGAAACCTGCACTTATTGCACCATATTGCACATCACCGCTCTAAGCGTGGAAAGGTATTTTGCAATATGCTTTCCTTTGAAAGCCAGAACCACAATCACTAAATGCAGGGTGAGAGGGATCATTCTTGGGTTATGGGTTTGGTCACTACTGACTGCCAGCCCTATTCTGTTCTTGTTTGGTGTGGAACATCGCAATGGAAGCCTGCCCGATGAAACCAGGGAATGCAAGTACATAGAGCACTTGGCCCGCACAGGCCTTTTAGAAACAATGACTTGGGTCTCCACCATTTATTTCTTCCTACCAATTCTGTGCTTGACTCTGCTCTATGGACTCATATGCAGAAAGCTCTGGAGCAGCAGGCACAACCTGAGAGGGCCCCAGGCAGCAAGCAGAGAAAAATACCACAAGCAAACCATCAAAATGCTGGGTAAGCATCTTACACGTCTATCAAACAGGCAGCAAGCACTATGTTACAGCAATGAGACAGACAGTCAAGCAATGGGGGCAACTTTTTGACAGGTTTGATACATAGTAAGCTCCACACTTTCTGTAAGTGCCACTCAGATCCCCTTTGCTTGCCCGATCTACCACAAACCCTACACACACAGGGTGTAAAGGCAGGGGAAAAAGAAAGGTGGCAAGAAAGGAAAAGCCAGGAAGGACTCTCACAGCTGTAAGGTTCCTGCATTTTATTTAATTTATCCATGTTCCCCAATTTTACTGCACAAAGCTCCCAATCTGAACTTCAAGTAGTTTATTAATAGGAACCAACCTCAGATCAGCTACAAGAATTCCTGTTGTCCCAAGGTGAGGCAAAGCAGCCTTGCCCTGCCTACCTGCAAAGTCAGAACACCATCAAAAAAGCCATATGATGACATGACTTTTTTAAATCCTTAATTTGATCATCCTTGATGTGTGTCTGGAAGATTTAGCACCTAGCAGTCTTGGTCTGAAGGGCAGCCCTTACAGCCAGCAAATCAAGCTTCACCCCAGGAGCGTGTTAAGGTTTTTGCAATTAAGCTTTGGTCCACAAGCTTAACAGATCCTAACCTGATCTAGTAAAAAAATTGTTTTTTCCCCCCTCAGATTATACCAAAATCATTTTAGCAAGATAGAAAACAAAATTACTTATTTGGGGTGACTATCATCTTACGCAGGCCATTTCCTCTTCCAAGACCAACAAAATATGAACTTATAGCTATCACCAGAGTGTAGTAACAGCAATCAAACAGGTCACTACCCCAGTGTTCATGGTGAGCATGGAAGTGCTGGTACACAGAGCACTTGGCCCTGGCCTTCACCACCTCAGATTCTATCATCCCCCAGTCAGCATGCATGGTCCTAGATGGCTCCCCTTTCAGACCGCAAGCTGGTGGTGAGCATCCTTTTTTTAAAAAAAGACAGACATGTGGGAACAGGGATATGCAAAGTAAAATGGACTAATTTTAGAGCCATGCATTTTCTCTCCATTGTGCTTTTCTTCAAGCCATTGTTTGCTAACTATTGTGCCTTCCAAAACTTTCTGTTTCTCTGCTGAGGCATCTTGCTCCTTCCTTCAGAATTCTGTCTTCCACAGCTTCTCCCATCTCTGCCTCATTTGCTCCACTCCCTTTCCAAATATCTTTAAACTATTCCATCTTTCCCCATCCTGTATTTGTGCCTGGCCCTCTTTTATCTGTCTGTCCCCAGTCTCTGGCTCTGACCTCTGCTCACATGCAGTATTTCACTGATGAGCAAAGCAGGTTGTCAGATGGGAGTGAAAAAGTATCTCCTAAAGGTAAGCACAATACCTTCTGCTGCTGCTGTAACGGTGCCGGCTTATATTCTTTTTGTGCCTTTGTGCTACACACTGGTATATTCAGTTTTCTGCTTTAATTCTGGACAGAAAAATGAAGTAGGCAACCTTAAGTCTCCACTGCTTGTTCGTGTACCAGTAAACGAAACAAAAATGGCCACACAAGTCAAAGTGATCAAACGCCTTCTGTACATGTCCTGTTAAAATGTAGTGATTGGAAATGTTATAAGATAACTTGAAGGTGAAGAATATTTTATGTCACTATACTAAAATACATTCCTTACCTTTTTTAGCAGTAGTAGTTCTGGCCTTTGTGTTGTGTTGGCTGCCATTTCACATTGGTCGAATCCTCTTCGCCCAGACTGAAATCATCCTGTACGATGTCACTCAGTATTTCAACCTCATCTCCATGATTCTCTTTTACCTTGGAGCATCCATAAATCCAATACTTTACAACGTCATGTCACAAAAATACAGACAAGCAGTGAGCAAAATCCTGAATTATGGCCAGGTCTGGCATTCCAGAAGCTTGACAAGGAGTGAAAAGACTTCTCTTGAAGGTACGGAGGTCAGTTCTTTCATGTAAACAGTTCACACATCTACTTTACTTCAGCATCCTACACACCCAGGTTTTTGGTTGTCTAATGCATGGCTGAATCATAGGTCAACATTAATCCCAGGTACTAGTGCACATTGTAGCCGGAGGTTGTGGGGGTGTTGTGGAAAGAAAAAAAGTTCACCGCTCATGTCTTTATACAAAATCTGCTTTATTGACATTGCCATTGCTTATGCTTCAGGGTGAGGCAAGTAGCATTGCCTGCAATATATCATGTAAAAATTGAAACTATTCCCATAACTACTTGCAGAAGCCTGTTCTCTCTGAAGTTCTGGGCTTCAAGCAAATGCCTCTACACATTGTTCCAACTATCCATAAAACTCATTAGTGGATTTGTTTCAAGAACTTCCAAGATCAGATTTTGATAGTTTGATACAAAAAATTATGCAGCAGCATAATTCAATTTGTTAGTTTCTCTTTGATGAAAGCTAATCAAGATACAATAGAACTGAATCCAACTTTTTTCTTTTATTAATTGGAAGAGAACAACCTGGGCTGCACCTCAAAAGGAAACAGATAAGAAAGTATTCAACTTGTCAGGACTGAGAAAGCTCCATCTGCCTCTGAAAGGCAAATTTATTATCTAGCCTGGTTTTCTAAGATCTGAAGCAGGGGGAAGTAACTGAAATGTTTTATCATTGCCCCAAACAAGGCCAGGCTGCGCTACACTGAAGCCCTCTATAACACCTGAAGAATTTATCTAAAACAGTGAGTCTCAACTTTTTTAGATTCACAGAAGCCCTTGTTAGACTCAAGCACCCTTTGGAAATGTCACACTTTGCTTTCACTTGGTTTTTTGATTATGAAAAAATAATAGAGCAATTTTTCTGCTGCAAAGAACTCAGAAAGACCACAATAGCTCAGAATGGTTTTGACACTGTGGATTCTTGTTTGAAATTTCTGAGTTTAACTTATGAATCACATGTAGGTGTCTGCACACCTAACAGTACTAATATGACACAGCACTCCACAGCACTCTGGTTGAGAATTACTGACCTAAACAGGCTAAGCAGACAAGGGACAGTGAAAAAGCCAGTTACAAATGTGGGGAAAAAGTTGCAGTGAGAGTTATTTGCCCAATTACACACACACACACACACACAGTTTGAAATTGGATGAATAACTCACCAAACTCAGATCTTCAGAACTGAGACCATTGTTTGACCACCTTTCACTCAAGGGGTTTAATACAGCTATAATTTTTGGATAGCCCAGGTTACTGTATTTTCATTATAGGTGAACAAGTCTGTTGGAAACTCTTAATTCCCCCTAGTTTATGTTAAAGAAAACTGGCTCAGCTGCTTTGGTACCATTTTACACAGAGGTCATGCTATTTACAATAAAATACAGCATAATATTTTAGCTGGGAAAGATGGGACAGTTGTCATTCCACATATCAAAATGTTGTTCCTGACCAAGGTGGGAAGGGCCAACAGCATCCTCCAGATGGATGGCTCAGAAATTCTGCATGGAATTGGAAAACTGCTGTTTGAGAACTCTCTCTTCCATAAACCCGTAGCTCTCCCTTATAAATCTATGGAACTCCACAAGCTCCAACTTGAAATGAATGGATTTTTTCCATGTTGCTGTATTGCTCATCATAACCACACACACACACACGACTAACAGCACTGTTTTTAAAGAAAAGTTATGCTCTTGGTTCTGAATTTAAAACCCCCACAAAAATACAGAGACCCTACAGTAAAATTGGAATATGTTTGATTTTTTTTATTGGCTGTATTAAATATATTATCTATTTGATAGTTACAATTTAGTAATACAATGCATGGCAGCTTTAACATAAGTTTGAGATACCTCAAAATTACATTACAAGAAAAAGGAAAATATACCTAATACATTAATGCCTCTAGGGTACATCAATCTGGAATGTATAATAGTAAATATAAAATCTACATTACACTATGCTTTCCAGTATATTTCCTGGAAACATGAATGTTTTGTGGCAAAGTACAGAAGCATTTTATTTCAAATTTGAAGAAGTCATGATTTTAGTTAGTATTTATTCTGAACGTCTAATTTATCATTTTTAAACAATATATCAGAAATGCTACTGCCAAATTAATCACATAATGCTTTTTTCTTTTTATTTAAAATAGAACAAAGAACCTTTGGCAATAGAGATTTGCTGAAGGCAGTCTATTGTTTTTCTAAAAGTAAAATATGAAAGAAAATAAAGACAGGCTGTAAACTCTTCTGCAAACTAAAGACACTAGTATCTGTATAAAACTCTTTTCAACACTGAAGAGAGACTTCCATGATATAATAAATGATTAACTTAAAGTTCTGCTACAAGTAGAACAATACATTCAATACATTTTCCAGGACTTTTTAAAATCAAAATAAATAGAGTACAAAATGAAGAGTATATTTTTGAAAGGTTACTTTTCGATTGCACCATGAATCTACTTTTAAGAATATTAAGTGATACATCATAATTTAGGTTTTCCACATTTGAAATGCAACACAATGCCTCCAACCGTAACTTAACATTATTAACTGCCACTGGAGAAAACACCCTTCAAATGTTTTAGTCTCTGAAATTAGCCTGTAGCCAATGGTACTATTACACATCTAACATCCCACAGGCAAGTGCAGTGATTTGATGTATTTAAAGTGTAGCTGTAGTCCTTGCAGAGTATGTGAATCTGTATATGGCATGTTCTCTTAACTCCGAAGCAATTAGAAAGACCCATACTGAACAAATGTTCTAAATTTGTGGCTTCCAGCTTGCAAAATAGCTGATGAAAGGAAATAGCTCTCTCACTTATTTGTAGATGTCTGCAACAAAGTTTTGACAAGGAACAGTCACATGTAGTGCATAGCCGCCACAAAATTTTAAAAAGTTCCTCCAAGCATCTTGGACAAGTTCATAGCAAACTGAAAATTCTCAAATACAAAAAAATGGAATGTGAAACTGCCACCTTTGTGATAGCAAGTAATTTAAAACAATGTATGAATGTTACTTAAAAAAAGAGTTATGTCCATTTTTGATCCTCCATATTACATTAGAAGGGCATCCAAAAACAGTTTGAACATTTTACTTTTAGGTTAATAATTGTACAAAAATATTTGCTCAGTTTGAGCCAAATAGTGAAACATTTATCATAAATGCACTTTCTCCTTAAAGACAATATCTGTGCTTTTTCTGAAAATGTTGCAAAGATTTCATCAGAAGCACAGGAAATTACTCTTCTCTCAGGCACTGAGAGTGAAATGTGGATTGGGCCAACAGCTGCTTGCCAACAGCAGAAAGCATTTCATTCAAAAACGTACAGTACAAAAATGGGGTCTATCTCCGATGTCACATACAAATGCATCACCACTGTATGTATGTTGCAGCACTAATATTTTTGTCTAGCATTTTAATTAAAATTCTAAAAAATGCTGGTACCCTCTACCTTAACACTTGAAACAATATCAACCATGGGACCCCAAACATTAAAATAATTGCAAAGTAGTAATATCACTAAATCAAGCCAATATTTTGTTTTCTTTCTACAGTATACTAAATGTGGTATGCTCTAGTAATGTTCTGCAATACAGTACTGTTCTAAGCTCAAGCATTTGTGCTGCTTTATTTCATGTATACCAAACTATAACAATACTTGATTAAAAGTTGCTGACCCACTACCACTTGTCTAGCTGAACTCTGAAAAGGACTTTTTTTTTTCTATAAAGCCTTCTCTTTAAGTGACTAAACGATGTAGGGTTTGAATTGCAACAGGGAGTGTACGCACACAGGTGTGTGCATGCACACGTGTGTGTTAAGGCAGTTTTTGGCTGTTCTATCAACAGCTAACCCTGATTACAGAGGACAAAGGATTACCCCTTTCGGTGACAGATTTGCATTCAGCATTTGGAAAGTTTCTGTCAACCCAGCCTCACTGAGTCAACAGTAACCGATGGAAATGTATGCATCTCCTATACAATCATTTCCAGCTAGGATTCTAATTAGAATTAACCAACCACAAATACCCAAAATAACTTGCATACATAAAGCTGAGTATCGAATAGGTTTTAAACCTCCTACTTGATTACAAAGTACTGAATAACAAGAGCAAAAAAAATAGCAACTGCTGCAAACAGGAAAAGAAAAACAGAAGCCCAGTACTGATCACTTTGCGCTGCCTTCTTAGACTTTGCCAATTCAGCTGTAGAATCAGTACACTGTGTAGCCAAGTCTTGCTTTTGAGATGAGAATACCGTACTGGGACTGTAAGGTCCGCACAGTTCTTGTAATCCAGTAGAATCTTGGTACTGGCGTCCAGCGCAGACTCGGACCCGATATTCACAGTTTGTCTGAAGATTTGTGAAACGGAATGAAGTCTCTGGTCCCTTGTATACCTAAGAATAGAGGCAACAAACTAAATATCCATTTCACCTTCCCAATACTTAGCAGTAGATCCTTGTGCAGTGTTTGATTTTAGGGGTGCAACCAGCACAGGCTGTTGAGAGTTTGTGAAGCAGCTCTAGGGAAAAAAACAGACTCAACTTTCACATCTAAAGAGTTCCTAGCTTTGTTCTTTCTGAACTGTCCAACGTGCACAAGGTCACTCAAATTCAAAACTTACCACTACGTTTCCGTAAGTCAGTAAGCATGCACTACCAGCAGGCAGAATTAAGACAGCTCAGTCCTAAAGTAAACTAGAGTGTTAGATATTCTGCCACTAGATGGTGGGAGTGTATTCTTGTGCAACACTTACTAATATTAACTTCCATTTCTTGGCATGCTTGGCTACCCAGATAAAAATCTGTGGGCTGGGCCTGGACCATGGGCTGTAGGTTGCTGACCTCTGCCTCAAGTTGTTCACTGTCCCCCCAGACCTGTCATTTGGGGGTCCAGAATAGAGTAGAGCCTTCAAGTATGCTAACTGCTGATGAGTAGGAGGGGGGCAGTACCTGTCCCAGAGTTCCAAATTTAAGGTAAAACAACATATGAACTGCTGAAA